GAGGAGAGGAGAGGAGAGGAGAGGAGAGGAGAGGAGACCCCAGGAAGAGTCTGATAAGCTAGCCTAAATGGGAAAGGAATTTTAGATTTCCAATTCCCCTCAGAGCCCTAAAAACAAAATGAAAGATACCTGCTGAAAAGGGCATGAAAGCATCTTTCTTTACAAACTTCCTGTCAGAGCTGAGGAAATGCTCAGGGTAGAAGTGGTCTGGCTTCTCCCACTGGGATTTGTCTTGCAGGACAGAGGCCAGTGAGGGGACAATGTAGGTTCCCTGCAAGCCAAGGCAGAGCAGTTATTGCACTGAGTATCATGATACTGTCACCATCAGAGTGATGAGAAGTGTTTGAGCTCAGAACACCCACTCTAATAGGGGAGCTCCTGCCAAAGTAGCTGTGAGAACCTCCCGTGGGAGCAAGCATCCCTGGACACAAACAGGACTTGAAAGGGAACTTACTTACCCGGTTACACTTGGGAGAGGGGGAAGAGAAGTAGCGTAGAGGTTGTCTCACCTTGGGGATGAAATAGCCTTTGAGGGTCACGTCTGTGGTAGTCTCATGAGGCAAATTCAATGGCAGGATGTTGGCGAACCTCTGAATTTCATGGATGACAGCATCTGTATATGGCATCTGAGTTCGGTGCTCGATCCGTGGGGGGTTTGACCCTATCACTTGCTCTATCTCTTCTTGGACTTTTTCTATGAAAGGAATAGGGATTATATATAGATAGATCATTTGAATGCCTCTGTCTCCTGCTAGGAATAAGGGAAAGTGGAAAATTCATATTTTGTTCTGTCTGGCTCAATGTGAAGTCACATTTGAGGTGATCTCATGAGAAGGAAGTTGCTGATTGCCCATTTTGCACTTACTCTGAATTTCAGGATGTTTTATCATGAGCAGAAGGCCCCAGCGCAAAGTGGTGGATGTGGTCTCCATACCAGCTATAAACAGATTTCTCACAACCTCAGTTAAGTTTTCATTATGGAAATATCCATTGGCCTTTCCATTCTCCTGAAGAATCGAAAGAATAGTAATATCAGCTGATTAAATACTTAAAAATACATTGGAGAACAGGGAAAAACTTTCATATGCAGGTCTCAGAGAGGAGTTGTATAAAGAATAAGATTGGCCTTTCCATTCTCCTGAAGAATCGAAAGAATAGTAATATCAGCTGATTAAATACTTAAAAAGGCACTTTTTCATTGGAGAACAGGGAAAAACTTTCCTATGCAGGTCTCAGAGAGGAGTTGTATTAAGAATAAGAAACTATTAAGGGGATGCCTTAAGAAACCTGCTCTAATCTGAGTCTTGAGACTGAGTGCTCGGACTGTCTGAGCTGCCCACAAGAGCACATACTCCAGTCAACAAGGGGCTTCAGAATAATGTCAATGATTACAACAATGTTTTCCAAAAGAGCGAGCAGTCACTGGGGCCACCCATGTATTCAACCCTTTGCTTTAGTTTTTCTGCCCATGGATCATGGAGCAGAGTATCTTGCAGGATGAGATTTATTGGGAAGGAGAATAAATTTGCTGCTAGAGCTCAGTTTTGACATGAACTCAAGAGGTGCTTGGACTTGGCCTATGATGATATTGCCTTTACCTGCCACTAGCATCAAAAGAGAGCCTAGAGAGGTGGTTCATGTCCTCTGTAATCCATCAGCCAAACCATCCTCTTGCTACAGCAGACTTGGGCTGAAACCTCATGATGT